CCAGGAGCATGGATGTCCTGCGGACCCCCAAGGGATGGGATCAGCCCCCCACCAGCACCATGCAGGCCAGAGTCAGTACTCAACATCTCCGATGTTGCATTTCCGAACCCGTGTCCCTTCAGCTGTTCCACGTCGGAACTCCCACCATCCCTGGCCATTGACTGAGCTGGCTGGGGCTGACGGCAGTCTCCGCCTCAAACTGCCAGGCAGACCCAAGTGAACGAGGGCAGGAGCACCACGGGGGGGGGGGGGCCTCTGCCTGGCACTTGAACCCACAGTGAGGTCGCATTTTTTTCAGGGATGCTTACCTGAGATGAGCAGGGTCCCTAAAATACCGGCCTAGGCCAGAACAAACAACGTGGCTAAACAAAACCCTAAACAAGCCGAGGCTACTTCTCTGGCTGCATTCGGGGAAGGCTGATGGGCCCTGACGGCTCCAAGCAGAGCCACATAAACAAAATTTAGGAGGCCCCTTTCCCTCTCCGAAGTCATAAAGGGAAGGAATCTTGCAGAAGGTACCCAGAGAAAATTATTAGGGCCTCCTGGAAGGTAACTAGAGATGGTTTTAATTAGAGTGGAGAGGTGGGAGATCAGGCAGGGAAATGACATCTTAATGAGCTTTAATGAAGTTGTCTGCTGGAGAGGACAGCTGTCAGGAAGGGGGGGGGGTGGAATCAGCATTCCAACCCAGCCGCGGCCTTATATGGGATTCGGGTGCCTCCCTCCGCCGCTCCGGGCGTCTGCGTGCTGTGCCACTAAACTGTTGCACAGCGGCACTTCACTCACTGGGAGCGATGCTGCGGCCCCATGGCTGTAATCAGCTGTGGGCTGCGTCCAGGGGTAGCCTTCCCGTTGCAGGCAGCCCCTCTGCCTGAATTTGGGGTGCCCCCCTCTGCTCCCACCACAATCTACCCTGTTCAGCAGTGGCCCCCGCCTTCCTGGTGAGCATTAGCAAGGGTCCGGGGGCAGGAATTGCCAGGGGAGGAGGGGGAGGCTGCGAAGTTCCCCTCCACCAGCACCACGTTCTCCTTTGAAACATGCACGGGATCGAACCTTTGCTGGGTTTGACACCCGTTCATTAATTGGTTTGAGGCCGCTACTTCTCTCTTTTAAATTGCTGCATCGGTTTGATCTTGGACAACAGTTATACTTTATGCAAAAGGGGGATAATCATGCCCCCCTTGAAAAAAAGAGGATAAAAGATCAAACGTTCCATGTGCTAATTTAGATAGAGGTGCAAATTTAGAAACAACAACTGTCATTTCCCGCTGATGGACTACTTCAGGTCTCCCCTTTCTTCCGGTCTCTTTGAATTCTTTATATTTCAAATCTCTGGGATTGGACAGTTCTTCAAACAGAGGCCTGTCCTCCATAAATTTTAGGAATATTTTTAACACTTAGCCTGAATGCTGTGGCCCTTTTTATAGTGTTTTCACAGATGTTTTAATTCATTGTGTTTTAATTGATTTTAAGGTGTTTTGTTTTGTTATTATGTTTTATGTATTGTAAGCCACTTGGGAAAGTCTAAGCCATTATAGGCGGCCTATAAATGCATGCATGCATGCAGGAAGAATGAAGAAACGATAGAACAAATGAACGAACGAGAGAGAGAGAGAGAGGGACACCTGGGTTTCCTACATCTGGTCTGTACAACATTTTGCACTCCCGTGTTTGAGTGATTTTCCATTTGTAAAAGGGCTCTTTCCTTTCAGACCTCACCGCCCACGTTGCTGTCTTTGGAGGGTCTCCGCTCAAGACTGGCCCTGAAATACGCAGAATTAAAGCACAGAACCCAAGTGCCACCTGCCATCCCCGTGCGGTGAGATGGCTTTTCCTTTGCCGAGCGTGGGCCTTGTGGGAAGGCATCCCGGGGGCTCCCCACCACCATGCCGGCACCCCAAACTCCAGCCTGGCCTTCCCCACCACCTTCCCTTAGAAAGGCAGATCGGGTTTCATGAGCCACTAATCTCTGACCGGCTTCTCCATGGTGACCCCGAGCGAGACACAAAGGCACGGACAAGGGTCAATTCATCCTGCAGCCTTTGGAGAGCCAGGCTACACACAGCGAAAGAAAGGGAGTTAATTTTAAAACTAAATAAGAAAGGCACATGGGGGCGTTATTGTGTGCTCCAGCGCCCTTTTTAAGCCTTCCTGATATTGTCCTTGTTCACGCTTATCCCTCGGTTGGTCTTTTCCTGACCTTTTCTTTTCCAGAGAATGGCAGCGCTCGTCAAGGGGGCAGCAGATCTGCTGAGCCAGAGGGCTTTCATTTCCCACAGTCTCAGCCATTTCAGAGACCCCCGTGGCGGAGCATTTTTTTATCCCCTCGTAGCCATGAGCAAAATGCTCAGGCCGGCATCTGGGGCCAGCCTGAGACCTTTTCAAGGATGCTTTGGAGAAGAGTCTTCTATTGACGGACACAGGGCTTTCTCGGGGGCTGCCCCCAAGTTTGTTGATGTATTCACCATTTTTTCTATACCATCTTATATCTTAAAATCTCAAGTCAGTTTACAAGAAGCAAGCAAAAAATAGAACCAGGCAAACAATACTTAGCATACACAACAATAAATAAAACATATCTTTAAAGTAACAATTTAAAAACTGGGCAAATAAAACGGGTTTTGGCCTGGCACCAGAATGAATACATTGTCAGCACCAGGTGAACCTCTCTGGGGAGCATTTTCCATTGTCGGGGCACCGCCACCAAGAAGGCCCTTCTCCTCGCAAGAGCCCTCCTCTGCTCCTTCACGGAGGGCTTTCAGAGAAGGACTCCCGCAAATTACCTTAAGGTCTGGGCAGCTGTCTGTGGAAGGAGACATCCCTCTAGGTGTCCAGGTCCTAGACCACTTAGGGCTTTACCTGTCACTGTCAACACCTTAAATCAGGGCCCAGACTTCAATCAGAAGCTGCTGAAGGGGGTATAGGAGTTCTGGAACTCCAGGATCTAAAGTTACCGAAGTCCCACACTGGACCCAACAGGTGGGTTTAGTCTCAAACCAAGTGCGACCTGGGGAGCCCACTGCTTAATTTTTTCCTGGGCACGTGGGTGGTTGCAGTCATTACAGGAGCATCATAAGAAGAGCCTGCTGAGTTGGAAACAAAGGCTTACCTCGCCCGGCATTCTGTGCACACCAAGGCCAAGCAGATGCGGCAAAGTGAAGCCTCCAAGAAGCCTCGCTCTTGTTTCCCAGCAGCTGGTATCTGGAGCAGCCAAATCATAGAGAAGTGGAGCTAGAAGGTCCCACAAGGTCCCACAGGGTCCAGCCCCTGCTCAGTGCAGGATTGCAGGTCCAGGCATCCTTAACGGGAGACTGTCCAGCTGCATCCTGAATGCCGCCAGTGTGCGAGAGCCCACCTCCCCCCAGCTCATCCCGCCACCAGGGCACAGCCTGTCTCGGGCTTGCCCCTTATGCATTTAGGAAGCTCTCCGGTAGCTTAAGGCAGGCAGTGACTCTCAGCTGAAGGAGTGCAAAAGTGGCCTCAGTTAGCGGGGGGCCGAAGCTCCGCGGAAGCCATCGGCTTCCTCTCCTGCTCGGAGAGTGCGCCAAGGGGGCATCCACAGATGCTCGCTCGAGGGACCATGCGACCAGCAGCCCTCTTCCAGGGCACATGCCACAGCACAGAAGTAGCCGTGCGGGATGCAGAGGAGGGACCCCGCTCGCATGCTCACCAGGCACTCAGGCACACGGCTGCATGCGAGTGGACTAGTCGAGGAATCCGACCAAATGCCGCCCCCAGAACGGAGTGCTCACTCGTTGCTAGACTAGGGGGAATGGAGTTGTGGCTTCGCAACAATTACAAAGCGTTTGCTGAGCAGTAGCACCACTACGATTTGTTCTTTATTATGCTTGTGTTATCCCGGCCATAAAATTTATACTTGGCAGCATTATTACGATTTTCAAACACCAATGGAATTGTTACTTTTCTTTGTGTTTTATGGCCTTTGCAATAAAATGTTTGCCCAGTGTATTATTGCAATTTTTTATATTCTTAAAACTTACCATAAATGAAAAATATAATAAAAGAAGACCTGTAAACATATAAATGTCCTTCTCAGAAGGTGTTGGTTTCTGCCAAGGTGGAACCCAGAGCACTGATGGGTGGGACATAGGGAAAGTCCCAGCTTTTATGAGGCTTATACCACTTTCGAAAAGGTTGGAACGTTTGGAGCGCCTAAGGTTTAGTTGTAGACCATAGGAGTTTTACACAGAAAGCTAGAGGGTTTGCACACCCCCCCATGTTTTGGTTTGGCCCCTCCCACCACTGAAAAGCGGCCCCCAAGAGCTTCCCCAAAATGGAAAGTGGCCCACAGGCCAAAAGAAGTTCTGCACCCTGGTGAAAAAAGGGGACCCAGGCAAGTGTTTAATGTATGAAAAGGGCCACCGAAGCCCAGATCAGCCTGGGAAGCTTCTCCTGTGTGAGACTGCCCGGCTTTTAAGGTAGAGGCACCTCTCTGGAGAGACCCTGCTTCTGAGTCGGCCCACCCTCAGGCCTTGTCTTCTGCAATGGTTCTGTTTGTGTTGTCTCTGAAGGCGTTCCTTTGTTTAAGGACATGGTCCTGTGGCCAGTCGTCTGGCTGGCCGTGGGAGAACTGGGAGCCCCGGCTGGAGCCTGGACATGTGCTCGGAGGTTGCAGCCTGGCCTCCAAGTTCGGGGTACACTCCCCCTGTCCTCCGAGCCGGGGCATGCCAGCTAGGCTCAGTGCTGGCGGAGAGGAGACCCCCCCACAAATGTGTTTGGCAGGGCAGGGGAACTTCAGGGCTGCCCTTCGCCTCCACACACTTCCTGCCCTTGAGCGGATTCCCATAATACTCCAAGTTCGGACGGTTACTTGCAGCCACGTGGGCTCCTGTGGCCCATCTTCTCTCAATTGTTTTTGAAAGCTACCCTGCACACTATTTTTGGTAGAACAGCGGGGTTATAAGCAAATATTAAAAACTGCAGCGAGTCCTTCAGTGGCGCCCAGTCTGACACCATCTCGTTTTCACTCCTTCGTGCAGCCGGAGCTCGGAAAACCTCGTAGAAACTGCTACACTCTTCCAGGCCATGACTTCAACTATGGCTTGTACATCCACGGCCTCGATGGAGGGGTGCCTGAAGGTAGGGAAGTAATGGGGTCACGTGCCATTGAAAACTCCCTGGTCCACTCGAAACTGACGTGTGTACGGGGTTCGTCTGCAGAGAAGCCATAAGTGCAGGGGGGGGGGGGAGCTGCTCGGGCCGCTCTGCGCTGTGGCTGCTGGCTTCTTGAGGCAGCCCACCCGAGCGAAGCCACAAGAGCCTTCTTCACGGGAAGCAACACGGGAGGCCTTTGCTCACACGCATGAGGAAAACTCCTTCCCGGAAAAAGCCCGGAAGGGCATGTCCTCGTTGCAGCATCCTCTCCCACCCAGCCCACCGCCGCCTCGCCACAGCCACAGCCCTGCAGAAACAGTTCCGTGAGTTTAGCACACAAAGGAACATGCAACTCAGCAAAGGGGCAATGTATTAAAAAAAGCTAAAACTGGTCCAAGGAAACCTGGGATATACTGGAAGGAGTTCCATGATGCCAGTTTGGGGTGTGCCTCGTGTGACTCACCAGGAGTCGAGCATTAAGTGATGGTTTTAAAAAATGTGCCCCCAGCGCAGAGTCTGGCACGGGGGGGCGGGGGGCTCGGTGCCCGTATACCTGGCCCACCTCGGCCCTGGGCGGCCTCCGCGTGGCTGTGGCCCCCCCCCCCCGCCACTGCACTGACTGCGTTTTCTTCCTCAGCCATCGGCCGCTGGAATGTGATCAAGCCCAAGGTCATCCTGGCGAAGGAGCAGCCGCGCGACTACAAGACCATGAACTGCAAAGCCCTTAGGGATGGCTTTGTCACCGCCCACGAGAACAACCTGTACCGCCAGATCAAGGACATCCGTCTCAGCGAGGACGACGAACGGCGCTTTAAGAGGGTGGCCCCGAAAGTGCCTGCAGACATGACCTACGGGAGACCGGCCCGGTAAGCGGGGGAAGGCTGGGCGGACTTACATGCAGAGATGTCTGAGGGACCCCTTTTCCAGGTGGGGATCTGCTGGATTCCCTGGCTCCCCGGGCTTTGGCCTGCTCCTTCCTGGCTGTGAGCCGTGAGCGGAACGGAATCTGGCAAATCCGAAAGAGGACCTGTGCGCCTCTTTACAGGTGCGTCTCGTTTGTTCAGCCTCTGCTAGAACAGAGGGGAGCCCAGGGCCCCCACAGTTGTCCCTCAACATTGGATTCCTCCATTTCAGCACCGGGGCAGCAGAGCGAGCAGCAGGCACGCCGTTCTGTTCCCCAGCCAAAACCCTCCCTGCCTGGGTGCAACGCAGAAGCACTGGGTTCCCACGTCCTTGGGAAGCTTCTGGGTCAAGGATGCTTTTCCGAAAAGCATTCCCTGCTCCGCCCCAAAGCAGAAGGGATTTGGTACAGACAGGAACACCCCCCTGGATCACTGCCTTGCCGTGGCGAAGGGGCTTGTGTAGCGCAATGAAGCTCTGAGCTGTGCCGTGAGGGGCACCCAAGGCGGACAGGGCAGAGCAGAGAGCTCTGACAAAACGTGATCCACTGGAGAAGGAAATGGCACCCACTCCAGTCTCTTTGCCATGAAAACCCCATGGACAGTACCAAAAGGCAAAGAGATATGAGGCCGGAAGATGAGCCCCTCAGGTCGGAAGGTGTCCCATGTGCTACTGGGGAAGAGCGGAGGGCTAGTACTAGTAGCGCCAGAAAGAATGAAGCGACTGGTCAAAGCCGAAGGGGCACTCAGTCTCAGATGTATCTGGTGGTGAAAGGAGAGCCCGATGCTGTAAAGAAGAAGACCCTTATGCTGGGAGCGCTCAATGGCAAAAGGAGAAGGGACGGCAGAGGATGAGGTGGCTGGATGGGGTCACTGGGGCAGCGGGTGTGGGCTTGGGTGGACTCCAGGGGATGGTGGAGGACAGGAGAGCCTGGAGGAATATTATCCATGGGGACATGATGGGTTGGGCATGACTTCCCGACTAAACAAACAAAAAGACAGGCAGTAAAACACACACATGCAATCTGGGCAGCTGAAACAAGCGAGCCGCTTCACTGGAGCCTTCTAAAAGCCCCTGGGTGTGGACCCACAAAGGCCACTTTTTCCAGAGGGGCCCCTGGGAAAGGCCCTCGCTGATGTGCTTGCCCTGTCTAACTCCTCTCAAAGGCCGGCACAGGAGGAGACCCCTCCTTGAGGGTCTCAGAGAACAAGCATTGGGAGTCTGTTATGGCTGAAGATCATTTCTATTTAAATTAGGGTAATTTTCTCCAGGACCGCAACGATATATACAAATTAGCACATGCAAATGTTACGCAAATGGCTTGCCTTTGTCTCCTTCCTCGGGGACTCCATTCCTCTCTCTGGTGGTGTCTACGTGGTCACTCTGGTCAAAGCCTCCTCAAAGCCTGGCCAAAGAGAGGACGGCCTGACAGCCACCCCCAAGCCCTCCGGAAGGGGCCAGCCAACGGGGCCGCTGGCCACACCTCGTCGGGCTGCTCTCACAGATCGGGGCTTCCTATAATCAGGGCTAACTCTGAGTTTCAGCAGAGTTGGTGGGAAATCTGCTGAGGTCCCACACCCTGGTAGGGGGCCGGCGACCACAGACCCCTGTGATGGTGCCTTCCCTCCCCCACTGCAGCATCTTGCTAGACCTCTCTCAGGCTCTGGCAGTGTGACGAGAAGGAGCACGGGAGATGCCACGGCTGACTTGCTCTCCACCTCAGTGCCTGCCATGATGAGGAAGAGGAGAAGGAGGAAGAGCAGCCGGTGACCCTGTTGCTGGCAGAGGGGCTGCAGGAAGGGTTGCCGGCCCAAAAGCCTGGAGAAGCCCAGAGCGGGCACTGTCTCTCAGGACTAAAATGGCCAGAGTCCAGTGTCTGGTTATCAGATGGGTGTTACTTCTGAACATTATTTTATTTTATTTTATTTTATTTTATTTTATTTTTTATTAAGTTTTTATATGCCATCCCAATACTAAAGGTCTGGATGGCTTACAAAAAACAAAAAGGCAAAAAGCAAAGCAACCCATGTACAACGAACGTGGAAGCAGTTCCACTCAAATAGGGGAGCCTTCTGTGAAATTCTGAGCTCTGGTTTAAGAAGCAATCAGGACATCCAGCTGCATCTTTTTGGAAACAGCTGGCCGCTGCGGGCCTTTATCTGAAGAGAACGGCTTCCTGCAGCAGGCTGAAGAGCAGGAAGGGTCGGGCGCTGGCCAAGGCCACCTCCCAGCAGGGGCCGACTCACGGCCGATGACATCCCCTGGAGCCATCGCTCCTCTTCTTCCCGGGGCTTGTTCCCCTGGCTTTCGCTCCGGGCTGGGCTATGGTGGAGGTGAGGGGGCACGAGCAGGAGACGCTCCCTGTCCCTCAGATGGCCAAGCGAAGCAGTGAACAAGCAGGTGGGAGCCACGACAAGGACGGGGAGAAGAGCGGCCGTCGGGGGAGAAGGTGGAGTCACCCAGGGGGGTGTCTTGCTTGCCCGAGAGCTCCCCAAACCACGGAGGTGGCACGGATCTGCATGCACAATTTACGCTCGGACTGGGACTCTCACACGCCGAATGAACGGAGCCAGAGACGGAGTCAGACGTTGGCAACCCTTGAGGGGAGGAGCAGGAGCAGCTGGTGGCCGTGGCACTGAGGAGCCGACTCTTGCATGGGGAGGGCCCGCAGAGGACCTCGGGTGCAAAGGCCCCCGAAGCCTGAAGCCCGCACTGGCTGGGTCTCTGATCACGCAGACAAAGGCCCGGAGCCCAGCCGCGTCCTGCCGCTGCCCCCGGAGCTTGTAAAACGGTTTGTTGGTTCTGCACACCGCACTGGGTCAGATGTTACACCATCGCTTCATGTGTAAAAAGCTAATTGCTAATAAAGATTTTTTCAAAAAAACGGGAAGGGGAAAAATGGTTACGAGGAGACTTGATGAACGGCAGCAAGCATTTTACGTGATAGCAAATGGGCTTTGCATATGCAAATTGAATGGATTTTAAAATGGTATTTAATGACAATTTTCGTAGCAGGCATTAACATTAATTGCAGGCAAATGAAAATGCAGCATTAGGTTGCTGTTAGCAGCAAACACCCCAGCTATAAAGCTCTATCTTGATCAGGACCAGCCATCTCGGGTCTGACAGGACCCCCTGGTAAATTGTGAGCAAAAGCGCTTTTATGCCGCAGAACGAGCCCCCGAAGCAGGACGGAATCAACATCAATTTTGCTTTATTTCTTCATAAACGGAGGTTAAATGGCTGCCCAAAAGAGGGTGGGAGGCACCGCCTGAAAGTTTGCTTTCTGAAAATAAATAAGAGGAGGAAGATTCCAGGCATGGCCCACGGCAAAGCTCTCCACCCGAAGGGGGAAGGCGCTATTCATTTAAAGTTATTATGGCCCATCTCGGATCTGCGTTAATAGCTACCTTTTCTGCACTCTTGCTTGTATTTATCCCCTCACTTTAAAAGCATGTTATAGACCAAATCAAATTACCAGCTCATTACAGCCACTTTAAGGTTATTTTTTCAGTGTGTGCACCCCGGGGGGGGGGGGGTTAACCTATTCCTCTCCATTCGTAAGTCGGCCAGATAGCAAGCAAGGCTGGACCCAACGCTCCTGCATTTTATTTATTGAAAGAGTCTCCCCCACCCCCCCAGCCCAAAACCTTTTGCGGTTGAAATACTTTCAAGGTGGCATCCGCAAGAATAAAAGAGGAGGCCTGTTTGTCTGTCCGTCCATCTGTCCATCCATCTGTGCTGAAGCACCAGGACCAAGGATACCTGACAGGCAAACTAAAGGGACTTCAGGTGTTTGCTTCTCAGATTTAGTTAGTATTTTATATGCACCCATGGATTTGAATTAAATTGAATATGCCCTTACACTTTGCCACTAGGAACAGCCCTGCACATAGAATCACAGAAGGTCAGAGCTGGAAGGGGCCAAGAAGGCCATCAGGTCCAGCCGCTGCTGTTGCCGGGCACCCCGTGACACCATCCCACTCGGGTGGCTGTCCAGTGTCACCTTGAATGTCCCCAGCGTGGGAGAGCCCCCCCCCCCTCCAGGGAGCTGGATCCATTGCTGTGGTAGTGAGGAAGCTTTTCTTGACATCTAGCCTGAACCTGGGTGGTCGCAACTTGAAGAAGGAGAGCCAGTGCGGTGTAGTGGTTAAGAGCACGGGACTGGGACTCAGCTGATCTGGGTTCGAGTCCCCGCTCAGCCATGGAGCCAACTGGGTGGCTTTGGGCCAGTCACAGACTCTCAGCCCAACCTACCTCACAGGGTTGTTGTTGTGGGGATAAGATGGAGGAGGAGATGTAAGCTGCCTTGAACCCTTTGTAGGAAAAAGGCAGGATATAAATCGAAAAATAAATAAATAAATTCCATGTCCTACACTCTGGCATCAGTGAGATCTTGATCTTCCCCTTTGTGGCAGCCTCTGAGGTATTTACAGAGTGATACCATGTCCCCCTTCAGTCTTCTCTTCTCAGGGCTGCACATGCCCAGTTCCCTCAGTCTCTCCAAACCCTGGATCGTTCTTGGCGCCCTTCTCTGGACCCTTTCCCATTTTTCTGCATCTTTCTTGAATCTTGGTGTCCAGGATTGGATGAGGTCCAGGTGAAGTCTGACTAGTGGGAGTATTGGGGAACTACTACTTCTCATGATTTGTAAGTAATGCTTCTGTCACTGCATTCCTAAATAGAATTTGCCCTCTTGTGGCCGCATCGGATTGTTGGCTCATGTTTAGCCTGCTGTCCACAGTTACTCCGAGGTCGTCTTCAGTCCTGCTGAGCCACATATTCTCCATCTTGTAGCAATGCATTTGGTGTCTTTTTCCTGGGTGGAGCACTTGGCACTTGGCCTTATCGAATCTCATTTTGTTGCTTTCACTCCAGCATTCGTTTATCAGGATTGCCCTGGATCTTCGTTCTGTCTTCTAAGATGTTTGCTATTCCACCCAGTTTTGTATAATCTGCAAATCTG